AGGAAGGGGGGAGACACAACACAGCTAGCCCGAAAACAACAGGGATGTGTATGCATGGGAGTGAAACTTAAAAGGTTTGTATTTAAAGTGTGCTTGCAAGGTCTTCGGCACAATATGTGCTCTTTCCCTAAAGGTTCACCGAGTGCCAATAACCATTAGTCATCCTGTAAGGACCTTTCATTACAGATTTATCTTTAGGAGGAGTTCCCCGAAAGGAACATAGCTGCGGATTTCAAACCCGGTCCAGTTCCAGTTACACAGTGCGTACCTGCTGCAATAGAAGGGAGAGATACTTACCAGAGTTTCGGGAGTGCGCGGATAGCACCGAGGTCTCTGCAGTGTTCCTTTCCTCGGCGGAATACTGTCTTGCATCCGAGGCAGTTCCCAGTCTATATTTGATATTAACAGCCTCAAACACGAGGCTCTCCCATAGACATTTTTTTCCAGGGTTTTCAAGCAAATTTCTCGGTGCCACAATGTTATGATGGAAGGATGCTGAAATGACAGGCCTCGTAGACGCTTGTCTTAATCATCGGCTTCTTAATTTAGTTTTAGTGCTGTGGTTTTGTGTGTGTGTGCGTGTGTGTCTGCGCTTGTGTGCGCGCAAGAGAAGCCTCTGACAACCTGCAGCTTCCTAATGACTGACGAGGCAGGGCTGCTGCAGCAAAGTAACACTTCCCTGGTGTGAAGACCTCTTACTGGGAAGTTTAGTTCACTACTGTTCTCGCAATCCTAATCGTATAACTTGTAACTAAAACCCATGGAAGAAGGATATAGCATGCTAAATAGACTAACTTCTAATCACTAGAAGCTGTTGAGGATTAACTGGAAGCTGGCTAGAGGCGGACACCTAAACTTAAATCTACAAATGCGGAGAGAAGTTTGGACCATTGAATGCCTCTTCCTCTCCCTCTTTGCCTCCATTCATCCATCCATCCACCTTCAGTCCCATTCACCCCTCTTCAAAATGTTTGACTACCTCTTTCTCTTTGTTAGCGCACTGCTCGGTCCCCATTCGCCATGCCTTAGCAGCAGGGTATCAGTATCTGCTGAGCAGTCCTTACCTTAATTGCCCAGGTAACCTGGAATAAATAAGGCAAGCTTATAGTCAAGGGGGAATAGAATTATATAAGCGTACATGGAGGCATTTACTGTCCCGAATGTGATATTACTGATCGTTAAACCAAAGTGTCCCGACTCGTTTCGTGGACGCATGATGCCATCGAAGCGTGGTTATTAAATACCCTTTCTTCAGGGCTGAAAAAAAAAAACCTCATTCATTTCTTAAGCTGTCAGTACATTTTAGCAGCTTAACCGCCTTGAAAGAGCCCGAGAGTACAGAGCCACTATACCCGTGTGAAGGGGGACTGAAGGCTGAAGCTGGGGCGGGGGATGGTGCAAGGGAAGTACGCTATATGCATTAAGTGTACACTGGAGAGGGTCTTTTCTCCTTTGGCCTTTAATTTAAAAACAAAATAAAAAATTAAAAAAAAAAAAAAGAAAAAAAAAAAAAAGGCGGGGGGAGGGCGGGGGGAGAAAAGTATGTGGTTGAAACACTATCCCTACGAGTTATACCCAAGAGCTGCACGGAGACCGCTGTTGAATGGCACTTCAGCCAGGACGTTTCAGCTCAGCTATTCAGCCCCATCCTGACCCCGGAGCTGGATATTCTCAGTCCATCCCCGCCGCTCGGTTCGGTGGATCCGCAGCGTCGATGAGCGTGCAGGTGAGGCATCATTCACACTCTGCAGAGAGCCGGCTCCCCTCTGCACACCCACCCGTATTTCACACGGCTGGGGGCTGCGTGCCTCTGTTCCACGCATAAGCTTCTGTTCCAAACACTCCACAAAATCTTCCCTGCTAGAAAATGCTGCCATGAGGGACTTCCTTAAGGGAATTCGGGTTTAGCTAAAGTTGAGCGGTCAAAAACCTGCACTGCCCCGACGCACAAAGGTACCACTGAAGTGGAGTCGTGTTCGGGGCAGAGCACAGGAAGGGACTGGCATTAGAGCAAGACCCCCGCATTTCCAAAGCAAATATCTCTAGTTTTATAAACAGTGCGTTTTCTGCCGAAGGAGAGGGGGAAAAAACCCCAAAAGAATAAAAAAATAAAAAAATAATTTAAAAAAATATTCGAAAGTTAAAGTCCAGCAGAAATTATAATTGACGTGGCTTCTCTTACATATCCTTTTCTCTCCTGTAAACAATGAATTAATCTTCATGGACTTAGAAAGATATGTACTACATATTGGACAAAACATTTCCTTTTTTGGTAGAACTGTATACCCATGGCATTAAAAGAAAAATATAAATCCTAAGTTTGTGCACAGAGTTTTATTCCGCACCCATGATAAATGACCGAATGTTAAATCTACATCATCAAATGTTTTTAAAGTGTGCTTCTTGCGATGTTAGCCTTTTGCCCAGAAATGCAAAAAAGATAAAACTTCTATTTTCTTCCCCGCTACATTTTCATCCCTGATCACAACACAAAGTAAAC